TGTACAAGCAAATATATGTATTAAGATTTTTCTATTTTCACAAACCTGTAGTGTTTTATACATTGTATCTAGACGCTGATATTTAACAATAAATCTGTCCATATCCACACATTAAGTGCCTTCCAATTTTTTACAGCTAAATAGTATTGCATTATAAGAATGCACCATAATTTAAACAGCTCCCTATTGATGAACATTTGTCTTCAAAAAAAACCTGTTTTATGCAATTAATAACCTAGTACTTATATTATTTAAAACACAAGAATATCCATGGAAAATTTTCCAGAAGTAAAATTACCTGGGTCAAAATACATGTATTTGCAATTTTCATAGAGGTAATCAAATTGATCACCATAAAAGCTGTGAATGTATACTCACTCTGGAAATATATGAGACTGACCTCTACACAGACTTATTAAGTATGAAACTGTAGTAGGGAAGAACAAAGCTGACTCCATATTAGACCTATTCCTTTAGCTCTAACCCTGTGTGCTCTTTCCTTTGCTTGGTTCTGCACCTTTTGTAAAAGAATGTTGCCTATAGTGCGAAATATACAGGATGGCCCATTCTCAAGCCTCTGACCTTTAAGGGTATAACACTTCTCCATCCACATAGAGATAAAAAGTTGCAGAACAGAGAATAATATTTGTCTTGAGGAAGGTTTACAGGAACATGACCTGACCTATGTGGACAGCTGCAAGAACAAAGGATTCCAACACTAAGAAGTTTGCAACAACCCTTCCCTTTTTAGTATAAAAGGAGCCTGAATTCTGATTTGGGTAAGATGGTTCTCTAGGACATAAGTTCCCCAACTTCTTGGTCTGCTGGCTTTCCAAATAAAGTAGTTATTCCTTGCCCTAGAATCTCGTCTCCCCATTTACTGGCCTGTCGTACAGCGAGCAGAACAAGTTTGGACTCGGTAACAAAATGGAATTTTATTCTTTTTTCCAAAACGACAGGTTAAAAAGTGGCATTTCTGTGTCATTAATGTGTATTTCTTTTATTCTCACTGAATTTATGCTTTGATTTTCATGTTTAAAAGAACATTTTCTTTCATGTGAACTGTATGATCATATCCTTTCATGAAAGATTTCCGAGTTATTGGTTTTTTTCTTATTAATATTTCTTATAGTATTCTTTAATATTAATATTTAAGAAACTTTATATATTAGAGCTGAGACACTTTTGGCCTGATTTAGCAAATATTATTTCTTCATTTTTTGTTTTCCCTTTGACTATATGTATATATATATATATACACACACACACATATATATGTTTGCCTTACAAAAGTTCTTTACTTTAATGTAGTTAAATATCTTATGTTTAATGACTTCTCAGTTTTGATTTACAGTTAGGCTTTTTTTCTCCAGTTTTATAAAGTAAATCTCCCAGTCTTCTTCTGGTATCATTTAAATTCTTGTTTTGTTTATAATTTATCTTGGTGTCTGCCATGAGGTATGGATACAGCTTACTTTTCTCCAGTTACTCCAATGCCATTTAAATAGGTATCTTTTCCTCACCAAGGTGATATGCTAACTTTATAATCTTTCAAATTTTCATGTATATTTATATAGACTTCTGGACACTTTATTGTGGGCCATTGGTCTGTCTATTTACTTATGAGCCAATGCCTCACTCTTTTAATGTTGAAGATTTACTAACATTTATTAAAAACATATCATAAATATATTATCTCATAAGGCTGGTCTTTCTTTTTGACTTTCTTTTTCCTAGAGTTTGCTTGAAACGTTTCTTTGCTTATTTTTCTTTTTAAGCATTCTAATTAGTTGTGATTATGATTAATTACTAGTTTGTCTAATTAATATTTACTATTTTCATTTAGGTTGTATCAAATAATTGGTTGTTATTTGAGTATATGAAAGCTGTTGGTTTCTGAATATTAATTTAATATCCCTTTAGCTTATTGAATTTTTTCTAAGAATTTCCTAGTTTATTCTCTTGGGTTCTACAGATAAACAATTATATCTCAGCAAATAGTAAAAATTTTATATCCTCTTTCCAAAATGTTTTACCTCCAATTTCTTCCTCTATTTAAACTTACTGGCTTGTGAGCTGAGATAGACATATTTTTACCATGAATCTATTGACTTCTATCTCACTTGGTGCTATTAGGTTGAACAATATTTGATTTCTTTTTTCACCTGCAAAAATTGCATTCCATATAACTCAACCAAATGTTTACCAAGTATGTTTGCTAAATTTTTTCAAATGTTTTTTATTGTCTGTGGTGGTGATTTACAATAAAAACTTTGTGACAATATTTCATATGTCAGGTTGTGAATTGTTTTGCAGAGGAATACAACTCAGAGAAGAGAAAGAAGGAATATTGATGTGTTGGTCACAATTTTAAATAATGTGACCTGTGAGGATCACTCTTGGGAGGTGATTAAAACTTGAAGGAGGTAAGAGAGTGACCCATATGGATATCGAAAGAAGAATATGCTAGGTAGGGGAGGGGAAAGAGCAAGGAAAAAGTCTTTGAGGGACAAGCATGCCTGGAATGCTCTAGGAAAAGAAAGAAGGCCAGGGGACAAAGAGATTTAGAAATCAGAGGTAATGGAGTGTGAGATCACATAGGGTCTGTAGGCTTTTCAAAGTTTAGCTTTTGCTTGAGTGAGATGGAGAAAGAGCCTTAGAGTATACAGACTGGGAGATGAAGGAATCTGAATATTTTTAATCTTTTGGTAAATTTTGTGATCTTTACTCCATTTTTACAATATTTATGTATTGATTTTGTGCCATATCTTTTTTTAGTACATATCACTGAATAAGTTGGATTTTCCTAAACTAGCTATTTGTAGATTATTCCTATGGAAGAGGGATGTGAGAAGATCTTAGGCAGCATTCCAGACTTTACAACTTGAATCTCTCCTCCTGCTGCCATAGACACAAACCACTTCCTACAAATGTGGCTTCTCTGTGTGTCTTTGTGTACTCCCACAACACCCCATGTCTTCTGTTTCTTCTTATCAAGCTTGGTCCAAAGGTTGTGTTCTCTCCTGTTCAAGAGATGTAGCTTTTGCACTTCTGAGTGAGTCCCTCACCTGCTGTTGATGCTGTCAGAGAACTGCCTGGCCTTCTTACTTTGCTTTCTTTCTTCATGATTTCTAACCATCTAAACTCCTTTTTGAAGCTTTCACACTTATGATGGAGGCAAGTTTATTATAGCTGCATCCTAATTCTCCTGAAAATTGATGTTACAGAGTAGTGTTCCTTTTCCTTGTTGCTTTGTTGTGATTTTCAGGAAGACAAAGGGAAACATCCTGACTTAGGTAGTGTGGTTTAATTTCATACGTCAACTTGGCTAATGTATGGTGCCCAGTTGCTTGGTTAAATTCTGTGATATTGCTGTGAATTTTTTTTTTTAGATCTGATTAACACTTAAATCAGTATATTCTGAATAAAGCAGATTACCCTCCACAGTGTGGGTGGGCCTCATCCAATCAGTTGAAAGTCTTAAGAGAAAAGACTGTTTCTCTGAAGAGGAAGGAACTCTGCCATCAGACTGCCTTCAGACTCAAGACTACAACATCAGCTCCTGCTTCAATTTTCAGCCTGCTGGACTTCCTTACAAATTTTGAACTTGCCAGCCCCTACAACTGGGTGGGCCAATTCCTTAAAATAAATATCACTTTATACATGTTTATACATTCTGTTCATTCTATTTCTCTGGAGGACCCTGACTAATATAAGTAGCCATATTTGTAATGAAAATTCAATAACTAATTTGATGCAAATATTACAGAAATTTTGTAGAGAGATATTATTTAATAATATTTTATATTTATTCAGCCTTTATATAAGATTAAGGTTTTCAAAGGTATATTTATTATGACATGTATAATTCTATAGGACATTTTTGGAAGTAGTTTATTATGCTGGGTAACTATTTTATTTTCATTCTTGTTGTAGTATTTGAAAAGTATGGTATTAAAGCAGAAGGTCAAGGAGCTAACATTTTAAGGGATTATCATTTGGGAAGACTACACATATTAGGCATCAATAATTGGCAGATCATAGCCTGAAGATGGAGTGTAAGTCATCTTTGAGTGGAGACAGGAACATTCTAAATCTCTTTCCTACCTAAGAACATATCTAGTATTTCACAAGGCATTCTTTAACTACTATATATGCATTTGTAACAAAAATGCATCAAAGAGATGTAGTTTTAAAATAGTAACATTAAATATGAAAGAAACACAGTGATATCATATATTCTAGGTCTCTCCTCCAAAATACGTCTTAAGCATTCTTGTCAGGGTTATTAGAGCAGGCTGAGGGTCTTAAATTTAAATATACATTAAGAAAATCCCAAGGGTCATAAGAAAAATATCTAAACCTTAGTCATTAAAAATATAAACAGAGTAAATATCTTTTTAAATTGTCATTGTTTTGTGTGATTTTACATTCCTGTTATGCATATAGGCTTTGGCAGTATTCTAAATAAGTATATAAAACTATAAACAGTAGGTTTTTAACACAGCTTGAATAACTACAACTTAATATCCAATGTGAAAAACAGTATCTAAAGTACAGTTAACTATGGGAACACATTTATTCATAGCATATATGAGAAACTTATATTTTCCAAAGGATCTGGGCAAACCAGACACTTAGCAGTTATCAGAATTACCCCACAGCTTCCTCTTTGAAAGAAAGAACACTTCCTTACATGTTTCCATAAGGCACACTGCTTGGGAAAACTTCATATTCTTGAATGTGTGCTATGTTTTATAACTCTGGATGGACAAATTATTTGCAGAAGTGTTAGGTTGCCTTACATTTTCACTGGATTATTTATAAAATTCTTGGTGACCATAAAGATTGTATATGCTCCCCTAACATAACAATTGACTGGTTTATTGATTTAAACCGGAGGTTTCTGAAGACGAACGTATGTGAGAGTGAAAGATTATTAGATATAGGTTTTATACTTGATTTTATGTTGTAAAACCTTCAGAATCAAATGTACTCACCACAGAGATGACAGTGTATGGCCTATGATTCACCCACACAAAAAGGGCATCCTATAAAGAGAGGAAATAAGAAAATAAGCATAAATCACTAATGGTTAGATAAAACATTCAGATATTAGACTAAAATCTGTAGTATGTTGAAATAAGTTTCAAAGGATCTTTGTTGTATTCTATGTGAGATTTGGCCAAAGATTTTCTAATTTTTATTTTGTTCTTAAACCCATACCAGAGGAAGCATGTGAAAGTCCTTAAATAAATTATGAGGGTTTCCATTTCAACAACAAAAAAAGAAACAAATTCCTCAAGATGTTTCTTCAAGCCAGATCCATGAGCCAGAAAGTTTGTCAACATTTAAATGTGCTATAAAGAATATATAGTGGATTTTAATATCACTTTCTGGCCCACTTAAACGTGTAGCCAACAAAATTTTTTTTTCAGATCTGCTCTGGACCTTATTTTATGTATCCCAGGTTGCTCTTATTCCTAGGTGTTATGCTCAAAAATGTTCTTGCTTCAGAGAAGATAATGCTGATTCTTCAAAGGTGTTTATGTTTACACATGCCAGAGGCTCTTAAACCTATTAGATCAGAAATTACAAGGATACATTTTAACAGTGGCAAGATGCCAATCAAGGAGATTTCTCATTTATTAGTGGAGTGGGCATGCATTTAAACATGGGGAGAGCTAGTAGTACGATAACCACTGGCTTATGCTTATCTCAAAGTTCAGTCCTTAAACTATCAAATCTATCAACTGCTTCCAACGGCAGGAAATGATGTGTAGAATATGGACTGCCTATTTACTTACTTAATACCAGGTATGACTATGTGGCAAAATGATGTGTAGAATATGGACTGCCTATTTACTTACTTAATACCAGGTATGACTATGTGGCATCATGGTGTTCTGAATTTCTCTCAGTCCTGTTCTTCAACATGGTCTCTTTTCTTCTGTTGAGCATCATGACACTTCCTTGCTATGCTAATAAACAACTTCCTACCTTCCCTCCTATCTCTGCAATCCTTCTACCCTCCAGCAACAGCTCAGCATGTTTACTGCTTAATCACTTCATGCCCAAGAACATGTAGGCTGTACTGAATGAGGCTTGTAATCAAACGATAGAGATCTACTTGATTATCATACACAACAGTAGCCCAATACATGATTTTTCTAATTATCTCCCCTGTGGTGGACATTAACCCCTGTTTGGTTTTCAATTATAACATCTATATGTCTTAGTCTTCAAACATTCCTAAGGGATATAATATCAGAATAACCATGGAGAACTTAGTCAAAGTACCAGACAAGCAGCTCCCTTTGATGACTTCCTTTTCTCTTCATGAAAATTTGGACTATTGTTAGGAGAGGGGCTGAAGGAACAAAGATGAATCAAATGTATTAGTTTTCAGTTAAATACTAATTCTCAGAATTCTCCCCAGATAATAACAAAAAGGAAATGTCATGTTAATTCCTCTTATGTACTTTTCAGATATGCAAGCATCATTCCTTTTCACCAAAATAATGTTCTATATGAGCTTGTTTATTTTCTGCAATCATTAAAATTGTGGGTTTTTTTTTAAGTTTAATTTAAGTGACTGTTTTAAGTACATGATTCCTTGGATTTGAGTCAGACTTTACTATAGTAATATTATATTTAAAATAATTGTTATTGAAGTTTTCCCAGGGAAGTCTTCAATTAAATGTTGGTCAATATATATTCAGCATTTTTACAGATAATAACACAGGTCATTTTCCCTAGTATTTCACAGTTTTCCTGACAAATTCATAAAAGAGAAGACTGTTTCCTGAAAAATGTTGAATTTGGCAAAATATTAATATTCTTTTCATGTTCTTGGTCCCAAAAGGAGATACCATGGTGTCATTTCGTTTAAGCGTCAAGTTTTATTGATGATCTTAGTCAGAATTATTCATATTTTGCAGTTTCCTTGCACATGTCATTAACAGGGAGCTGCTTCCTTGCTTGTATGAATGTTTGATTTCTTTTTCTAGTTAAATAGTGAACCAAATGCAAAATCTAATACTTAGGGTAATCATGTGAATTTATGACCATCACTCAGATGCTGGGCTTTCAGAAATGAAACTGAATAGATCATATTTCTCCATAAATGTAGGTTTTACAGCTGAGATAGATCTAATATTGATAATCTCTTTATTTAACTGTTTCAAAATGCCATATGTGACTGAAAGCAACAGAATGGAAGTAACTATGTTTATAGCAAATGTGAAAGGAAATGAAAGTAAGATATGCAGTAAGCTTCCCGCTGAAGTGAGCATCACATCAGCGCTATAGTGCCGCAGCATTAGGGACAGCAATCAGCAGGGTGAAGGAAGGGACTGAAGTGCACTCACATGTAGGCTGAGGAAATTAAAATGGGAAAAATACGATGGCTATTTTCAGATGCTCAGAATCTCCTACACAGGATAACTTGAAGATTAAATTAAAACTAACTTAAAATCAGAGGAAAATACCTGTTGATTTAATCACAACTTTATGTGGTACAAAGTACACTTTACTAGGTCACATTTTCCCAGTATCTGCCATTGTCAGATCTGTAGTTTTACAAAACCATGGCTCAAAGTACAACAAAAATTTCAATTTAGGAGACTTTCCTTATTCTAAAATGGATTCTGACTTTGGCTTTTTCTTAGTTTTACATTCATTCATTTATCCTATGTGGTCTATGCAGGTGAAATTAGTTCAACAGAAAGTGCTATGGATTAAATTGCTTCCTGAAACTTCTATGTTGATGCTCCAACTCCTAATGTGTCTATATTAGGAGTTAAGAATTTTCAAAAGTAATTAAGGATTGAGTCCTAATCACATGGGGTTGGTGGCCTTATAAGAAGAGGGAGAACAATCTATCTTTTTCTCCACCATGTGAGGATACAGTGAAGCCAAGAAGAGAGCCCTTATGGTAAACTGACTGTGCTGGCACCCTGTCCCGATATCGGGCTTTCCAGGCTCCAGAACTTTAAGAAAATAAATTTTTGTTGTTTAAAGCACCCAGTCTATGGTATTTTGTTACAGCAGTCTGACCAGACTAAAAGAAAAAACATATTCATTCCAAACACATATCTATGCTCTGATGAAAGGACAATTATTTACCATTTCATTTAGTTTCCCAACTGTTTCTATAATGCTTGAATGTTTTAGCAGCCATGATGGTGACAGATCCACACAGGGGTTTTCTGAATACAGTTTTCAGGCTGCATTTGCTCACCACTCTGCAAACATTTGTCAAATTTCTTAGAATACAAAGGGATTCTGTGTTTAAAAAAAACAAGCAAACATAAAGCCCTGTTTGAAATCTCAACAATCTTAATGAGAATCAAATCAAGTTATTTAAGGAAATATTAGGCACAACATTTATAGATGCAAGAAATCTTTGAGTTTTTTTCCTGCAGAATTTAAATCCTCTAGCTATTCAACTTACAACTCAAGTTCTGGAATGTCTGTTTTAATATGTGTGGGATCTGGAAGGGACCCAAATGGTTATACATACTTTTAAAGAAAAAGGCAGGGATTTCTTTTAATTACCATTTGGAAAAAGGAGGTTATTATTTACCAAATTTATTCAAATATATGTAAAGGTGAGCAGATCACCCAGGATGAGTATAATAAATACCAGATTTTTAATCTCCAGATAAGATCCTGGAAGTATGGTAAAATTCTTAATAAAGCCAGTTATTTTTAAGCAAAATTAGATATCACAGCAAATGGACAGAGAAGAAGTGTACAAACTACATGATAAAAAAACTATATGCTTTTAAGTTGTGACATGAAAATTATTTTAAAATGAAAACAAACCATTTTAAGTTTCATCACATTAGAATTTATTTTCCTTGTTTACACACACATTCATTCATCATATATTTTAAGTATTTACTATGGGCATGCTTTGGGCATGAAAAGGATACAATGATGGCATCCCTGTCTTTAAGATTTTCTACACACAAAAATGGCCAATAGCTCTGAGATTTGGTAAGTTATAAACTTGGACTCAAGAGAGCCACAAAGACATTGTTATGAAATTCACTCTGTTGTAGTTTTCACAATTAAGTTCGTTAAATATGTTGCCAGTTATGAAAATCAGAAAGCAAACACTTTAACTAAAAAAATGTGTAATGGATTATTTTTGGCTCCAATTCAAACTTAAGATTGTCTCATGAAGACTTTGCCTCTTAAAAGCACTTGCAAACTATACAACATAAGTCACTAGAACAGGATTTTTCCCAAGTAACTACGCTTTTCTGCCTCCAGAAATGATCTGTTCTTGTTGCATTCATTAATACTTGTAAACACAGAGGGGAAATAGGACTGGAGAAACATGGCCCTTGTTCTCCTTTTCACTACTCTCTCTGTTTTTCTTTTCTCCTGTAGGTTGTGGGGAAGATCTGTCGATGTCAGCAGCATTGGAGACTACTTCATGGATTTGTGTGGTTTATATGGACAATCTATGCAGACTTCAGCCTTTGACTTCTCCCCTTAGCTTTGTTTCTTTTGCTTCTCCACCCAATTCACTTCTTATACTGAACGTTAGTAGGTACTGCCCTGGTTTGAGTAGTTTTGT